TGCGTGTACGGGAGGTGGGAGGGGACACACCTCGGTATTCCTGGACAACCGACTATTCGTTGTGAGCCCCAGCGCTGCCTGCCAGCCATCCTGTCCCTGGAATATCCAATAGGGGGGACGCCTAAATGGAGGTCTTCCTTTACTGTGGGGTCACCAGGTCAGGAAGTGAGGGGAAATCACCATGGTAACACAGCAAAGAAAAAAAACTTTCCCTGCTTCTTCTAAAAAGTGAAAAAACTTTATACACACCGACGGTACCAAATCATTCTGCCACAAGGTGGGCGGTGCTTTAAGACGAGGCTCCGCCCCACGGAGGTTTATAATTGTGGTACACGTGTGCTGTACAGTGGTCGGGCCCCTCACATGTATGCAGTACAATGGTCGGGGCCCCTCACATGTATACAGTACAACGAGATCCAGGGCTGCCCCGCAGTACTGCTACTCCGCCAGCAGATGTCCTCAGCCTTCTGAATTCAATGACAGCCAGTTACATTCAACCACTTCCTGTGAGCTCAGCCTGTCATGGACCCGCCCCCCAGCCTGTGGGAGGAAACGCAGGGTATGAGCTCTCCTCTCTGTTACTCTGCTCTCTCCTCCTATCAGCCTGTCCATTGCTAGCACATGAGAACTGCAGCACCACTGATTGGCTCCTTTTTCACCTGAGTCAGAGCTGTACTGCACAGGGACCATAAAAGGTTGCTGCAAAGTCCGATTTGGGTAATTACACTGCCGGCAATAAAGAAATGTCATGATGTGACGTTTCCAAGCACCATCAGAAGTCCATGTGACACGGTGGGAATGCCATTTGGGAGACAGGGACAGAGCGTTGTCACCCGTCATAGAGACACGCCCGGGATAAGGACCTTTGTGGCAGGATCACCAGGCCCGGCTTTATGAACGGCGGGCAGATTGAATGACATTGACTTGCTCGGGTGTACGTCGGATTTCATGCCGAGTAACCGGCGGTGGAAAATCATCGTCTCCCTGTGTACATATCTGGAATGATAAGATCTGCACCCGGAGAGGGATCCGTGTTACGCTCATTCATCATACATGTCACATCGGTGAACTGCTGCGTGTCCTGCGCTCTTTCCTCATACATGTGAACTGCTGCGTGTCCTGCGCTCTTTCCTCATACATGTGAACTGCTGCGTGTCCTGCGCTCTTTCCTCATACATGTGAACTGCTGCGTGTCCTGCGCTCTTTCCTCATACATGTGAACTGCTGCGTGTCCTGCGCTCTTTCCTCATACATGTGAACTGCTGCGTGTCCTGCGCTCTTTCCTCATACATGTGAACTGCTGCGTGTCCTGCGCTCTTTCCTCATACATGTGAACTGCTGCGTGTCCTGCGCTCTTTCCTCATACATGTGAACTGCTGCGTGTCCTGCGCTCTTTCCTCATACATGTGACATCGGTTAACTGTTGCGTGTTTGGCGCTCTTTCCTCATACATGTGACATCGGTTAACTGTTGCGTGTTTGGCGCTCTTTCCTCATACATGTGACATCGGTGAATTGCTGCGTGCCCTGCGCTCTTTCCTCATACATGTCACATCGGTGAACTGCATGTCCTGTGCTCTTTCTTCATACATGTGAACTGCGTGCCCTGCGCTCTTTCCTCATACATGTGAACTGCTGCGTGTCCTGCGATCTTTCTTTATACATGTGAACTGCTGCGTGTCCTGCGCTCTTTCTTCATACATGTGAACTGCTGCGTGTCCTGCGCTCTTTCTTCATACATGTGAACTGCTGCGTGTCCTCTGCTCTTTCCTCATACATGTGACATCGGTGAGCTGCTGCGTGCCCTGCGCTCTTTCATCATACATATGAACTGCGTGCCCTGCGCTCTTTCCTCATACATGTGACATCGGTGAACTGCTGCGTGTCCTGCGCTCTTTCCTCATACATGTGAACTGCGTGCCCTGCGCTCTTTCCTCATACATGTGACATCGGTGAACTGCTGCGTGTCCTGCGCTCTTTCCTCATACATGTGACATCGGTTAACTGTTGCGTGTTTGGCGCTCTTTCCTCATACATGTGACATCGGTGAATTGCTGCGTGCCCTGCGCTCTTTCCTCATACATGTGACATCGCTGAACTGCGTGTCCTTCGCTCTTTCCTCATACATGTGACATTGGTGAACTGCGTTTCCTGTGCTCTTTCCTCATACATGTCACATCGGTGAACTGCATGTCCTGTGCTCTTTCCTCTTACATGTGAACTGCTGCGTGTCCTGCAATCTTTCTTTATACATGTGAACTGCTGCGTGTCCTGCGCTCTTTCTTCATACATGTGAACTGCTGCGTGTCCTCTGCTCTTTCCTCATACATGTGACATCGGTGAGCTGCTGCGTGCCCTGCGCTCTTTCATCATACATGTGAACTGCTGCGTGTCCTGCGCTCTTTCTTCATACATGTGAACTGCTGCGTGTCCTCTGCTCTTTCCTCATACATGTGACATCGGTGAGCTGCTGCGTGCCCTGCGCTCTTTCATCATACATATGAACTGCGTGCCCTGCGCTCTTTCCTCATACATGTGACATCGGTGAACTGCTGCGTGTCCTGCGCTCTTTCCTCATACATGTGAACTGCGTGCCCTGCGCTCTTTCCTCATACATGTGACATCGGTGAACTGCTGCGTGTCCTGCGCTCTTTCCTCATACATGTGAGCTGCTGCGTGCCCTGCGCTCTTTCCTCATACATGTGAGCTGCTGCGTGTCCTGCGCTCTTTCCTCATACATGTGAGCTGCTGCGTGTCCTGTGCTCTTCCCCCGTTTGGCGCGCAGTCAGCGATTGCGATATTCCCGGCATTCTCCGCATAACATTCCAGGGAGGCTCCGCCCCCTCCCAGCAGAACTTTGGACGCAGCGGCAGAGCTGACAGAGACGGCTGACTCTCCCCAGACTCGGAGGCAGCATGGCGGAGTTCACCACGGCCGGCGAGTACGAGGCGAAGATGAACGCGCAGATCTACCTGGACACGTACTTCCAGCTGGGGTCCGGGAGCCTGGCGGACGATTTCATACGGTTCGCGCTCAGGAAGCTGCACGAGGTCTTTTCGTCAGGTATGTAGCGTGTTACGCAGAGAACCGCCAACAGGCGGAGCGCGCCCCCCCCCCACGGGAGACCAATCAGAGCCCAGCGATTACCGATCTGAGGGCTGGTAGCCGAGTCATGTGACTTCCGGTTGCTATGAGACGGCGGATTCGGCACGGTGACGATATTGCGGCCTTAGTAAATAAGAGTTTGCTCCAGAAGTTCGGCGCCGCCTGAGACACGTTATTATTATTCGGGATGTATGTGGCGCATACAATATAAAGGAGGCGGTGCCGTTATCATACAGGAGGGCCCGGTCTTCAGAGCTTACACTCTAAGTGCAGGGCTCAGAAGAGTGCAGGGGTCAGTAGTATGTAATGCAGAGTGCAGGGGTCAGTAGTATGTAATGCAGAGTGCAGGGGTCAGTAGTATGTAATGCAGAGTGCAGGGGTCAGTAGTATGTAAAGAAGAGTGCAGGGGTCAGTAGTATGTAATGCAGAGTGCAGGGGTCAGTAGTATGTAATGCAGAGTGCAGGGGTCAGTAGTATGTAATGCAGAGTGCAGGGGTCAGTAGCGGGTCAGTCACTGTATCACAGCTAACCACTAGGAGAATAAATGACACAGATCTCACCCTGCAGTACTGCTGAATATTCCTTAGTGTTCATCATCTGGTAAGACACCTAAATAATCCCACCGGGATCTGTTCTGTGATCACCGAGACACCGGGATCTGTTCTGTGATCACCGGGATCTGTTCTGTGATCACCGAGACACCGGGATCTGTTCTGTGATCACCGAGACACCGGGATCTGTTCTGTGATCACTCTATAAAGACTTCCCGCCTTCTATATAAATATTTCACCAATAATCTACGTAATTGTAATAGGCGGACGCAGGGGGCGGATCTTTCCGGGCAGCTCTGTTTCCCCATTTCCCCTCATTCCACGTCAAGGTCACATGACTCGGAGAGATTTAGGAAGGAAATGAAGCGAGTCGGCAGAAAGATACAATGTAAACATCACTGACTTGTACACATAAAGCTTTGTTTTTGTGAAATGTAACCGGGGGGGGGGGAAAGCATCGATACTGCGTGAGAGTTCTGCGTCCCTCCCGACTCCCTGCGCTGTCCTGTGACCCGGGGACTCAGCCGACCGGTGGAAGTGTGCCCACAGACAGTCCTCGTTTCAGCTTCTGCCGTGCAGAAAAAAAATGTGTCTGGACGTCTGGAATGCTTTAAGTAATTCACATATTTTAAAACTTATGTCAGATGCACTGTGAGGCCTTTGATAAAGAACACGGGAGGACATACCACAGACCGGAGCAATCCCAGAACATGGGAGGACATACCACAGACCGGAGCAATCCCAGAACATGGGAGGACATACCACAGACCGGAGCAATCCCAGAACATGGGAGGACATACCACAGACCGGAGCAATCCCAGAACATGGGAGGACATACCACAGACCGGAGCAATCCCAGAACATGGGAGGACATACCACAGACCTGAGTAATTCCAGAACATGGGAGGACATACCACAGACCTGAGTAATCCCAGAACATGGGAGGACATACCACAGACCTGAGCAATCCCAGAACATGGGAGGACATACCACAGACCTGAGTAATCCCGGAACATGGGAGGACATATCACAGACCGGAGCAATCCCAGAACATGGGAGGACATATTATAGACCTGAGCAATCCCGGAACATGAGAGGACATACCACACACCTGAGCAATCCCAGAACATGGGAGGACATACCACAGACGTGAGTAATCCCGGAACATGGGAGGACATATCACAGACCGGAGCAATCCCAGAACATGGGAGGACATATTATAGACCTGAGCAATCCCGGAACATGAGAGGACATACCACACACCTGAGCAATCCCAGAACATGGGAGGACATATCACAGACCTGAGCAATCCCAGAACATGGGAGGACAGACCTCAGTACTCAGAAATCCCGGAACATGGGAGCACTGGACATACCACAGACCTGAGCAATCCCAGAACATGGGAGGACATACCACAGACCTGAGCAATCCCAGAACATGGGAGGACATACCACAGACCTGAGCAATCCCAGAACATGGGAGGACATACCACAGACCTGAGCAATCCCAGAACATGGGAGAACATACCACAGACCTGAGCAATCCCAGAACATGGGATCAGTAGTATGTTAAGCAGAGTGCAGGGGTACATATCACAGACCTGAGTAATTCCAGAACATGGGAGGACATACCACAGACCTGAGTAATCCCGGAACATGGGAGGACATACCACAGACCTGAGCAATCCTAGAACATGGGAGGACATATCACAGACCTAACTACCTGCAGAACATGGGAGGACATACCACAGACCTGAGCAATCCCAGAACATGGGAGGACATACCACAGACCTGAGTAATTTACAATGACTGATCCCTCTCATATCTCTGGTCTTTATTGAACTAGCGGGGGAGGGGGAGGGGGGGATTTAACAATCGAAATCCAGTCCTTGACCAGAGCAGTTATTGGTGTAAGAGGGGTAATGTGAGAGCCAGCAGGAAAACATTTAGGATTTGCCATGTATGTCGGGGGAAGTCATCCTCGGAGAGGTGGGGATCGACCCTAAAAATTTCACTTGATGGGCAATAACCTATAAAGACCCCGCTAAAAAGTAAGAAAGGTTTGCAGAGTTCAGGGGGCAGTAGTTCGTCACACATAGGTCATTAGTATTGAGTGCAGGGGGTCAGTAGTATGTAGTGAAGAGTGCAGGGGCCAGTTGTATGAAGTGCAGGGGTCAGTAGTATGTAATGCAGAGTGCAGGGGTCAGTAGTATGTAGTGCAGGGGTCAGTAGTTTGTAGCACAGAGTGCAGGGGTCAGTAGTATGTAGTGAAGAGTGCAGGGGTCAGTTGTATGAAGTGCAGGGGTCAGTAGTATGTAATGCAGAGTGCAGGGGTCAGTAGTATGTAATGCAGAGTGCAGGGGTCTGTAGTGAGTAATGCAGAGTGCAGGGGTCTGTAGTATGTAATGCAGAGTGCAGGGGTCAGTAGTATGTAATGCAGAGTGCAGGGGTCAGTAGTATGTAATGCAGAGTGCAGGGGTCAGTAGTATGTAATGCAGAGTGCAGGGGTCAGTAGTATGTAATGCAGAGTGCAGGGGTCAGCAGTATGTTGTGCAGGGGTCAGTTGTATGAAGTGCAGGGGCCAGTAGTATGTAATGCAGAGTGTATGGGTCAATAATATGTAATGCAGAGTGCAGGGGTCAGTAGTATGTAATGCAGAGTGCAGGGGTCAGTAGTATGTAGTGCAGGGGTCAGTAGTATGTGATGCAGAGTGCAGGGGTCAGTAGTATGTAATGCAGAGTGTAGGGGTCAGTAGTATGTAATGCAGAGTACAGGGGTCAGTAGTATGGCATGCAGAGTGTAGAGGTCAGTAGTATGTAATGCAGACTGCAGGGGTCAGTAGTATGTCATGCAGAGTGCAAGGGTCAGTAGTATGTAATGCAGAGTGTAGGGGTCAGTAGTATGTAATGCAGAGTGCAAGGGTCAGTAGTATGTAATGCAGAGTGCAAGGGTCAGTAGTATGTAATGCAGAGTACAGGGGTCAGTAGTATGGCATACAGAGTGTAGAGGTCAGTAGTATGTAATGCAGAGTGTAGAGGTCAGTAGTATGTAATGCAGAGTACAGGGGTCAGTAGTATGTCATGCAGAGTGTAGGGGTCAGTAGTATGGCATGCAGAGTACAGGGGTCAGTAGTATGTAATGCAGAGTACAGGGGTCAGTAGTATGTAATGCAGAGTACAGGGGTCAGTAGTATGTCATGCAGAGTGTAGGGGTCAGTAGTATGTAGATGTGCTGATCCATCTTCTGGACTGTGGTGCGGAAGGCACGCAGACCCTGCACCCCATTGGACAGCTGATGGATCCCAGGCAGAGGGGTGAAGTGAATATGAGGCGCTCTATAGACCCCGTGGGGCTCTTGCGGTGATTAGTAACGATCTTGGATTGTCTTTCCCAGGTGCGGTGAAGGGCAGCACTCTTATTGATGTTGGCACTGCCCCGTCCATCTACCAGCTCCTCTCTTCCTGCGAAGCCTTCGATGACATCACCGCCACCTGGTTCACGCAGAGCGAGCTGCGCCTGCTGCAGAAATGGCAGAACAAGGAGCCGGACGCATTCGATTGGACGTCCATACTGACATACGTCTGCGAGTTGGAAGGAAACAAGTAAGAATTTAACGTTCATCGATGTGTAAAAGGTGATTCCCGGGGACGCCGGGTGCTGAAGCTGCATTGGTGGGCGGAGACAGGAGGATTGTGAGCTACCCGTCACATGACCTGTTGCCAACCACCAATCTAGGTGCTAGAATGCCAGAAGGTCTCAGTTATATCTCGGATGTTGATTCATTATTGGGGTAATAAAGACATATCACTTAGATTGGTGACCGGGGAGATTCCCCCTCTCTATTTGTGTGGTCACTGAGACAGGAAGTGATGGGAAATACAAAATGTTACCATGTTGCCAACGCAGGAACAAGGGGTGAAATATCATCAGTGACATGAATTAGAATCGCTGAACGCAGCATCTCAGAAAGCTGTACAATGATCTTACCGTCTGCCATCGTGGCGGGGTTTGCTCTCCCTGCCACCCCAAGGCCAGGTTCCGCAATGCACCTCCTCCCTGCCAAACG